GTGTTGTCCATGGATGGCTGCTGGTCCTGTGACACCACAGGGGATGGATGGGGCATGGGCAGCGCCCAGGGAGCCTCCGTTCCAGGTTCCTCGGTCCCAAGAGGTGAACGTGTTGCCATGGTTTTTCCCCGCTCCCTGGGGCATGGTGTGAGTCCCGCCATCCCACCTGGCATCTGCAGCCCACCACAGGGATGGTGTGACCTTCCTGGCTGTGGTTTTTAAGGGGGGTGTGTGTGCATCTGCTCAGCGCTGAGCAGCGTCAGGGCTCTGGCTGGCAGCTGCGTTTATCCGTGTGGTGGAGGGCAGGTGCAGATGGATGGGTATCTTTGGATATTTTTGCCAGCCATGTAGTTCTTCCTTTTTTCTTTCTTTTTTCTCTGAGCACAATGGGAAACCTCTAAGTCTGTATTGCTCGGTTGTGGAGCTGGATCAGAAGATTAATCATGGACTGGGCTCAGTCCCTCCAGTTTCCACAGCTCCATCTTTGCCAGGTCCCAGCACTGGAGGAGAAATCATAGAATCATGGAATCATTTTGGTTGGAAAAGACCTTTAAGGTCACTCAGTCCAACTGTAAACCCAGCCTTGCCAAGTCCACCTCTAAACCATGTCCCTAAGCACACCACGTCCCAAGCCCATCGTGTGGGTCCACTTTTGACGATGGCAGTGAAACGCGTTGGTTGGGTCTGGCCCAGCAGCCCCTGTGGGTGGAGATGGAGTTTCCAGTGTGAGCAGACAGGACCAATAGATGGGAGACCAGGGAAGTCTATTGCAAGGATTTTATAGATGAGGAATTGGGAGCCAGAGACACGATGAGATGACTGATTCCCACAAAAACTGAGCTGGGACCCTGTGAGCTCCACACCATGGTACATACCCCAGGCCATGGCATGAGCTGTGTTGTGCAACTCGTTCCCAGCTCGTCTCGGGGATGAAAGATGGTCAGACGTGAGCTCAATCTGAATTTTTTGGTCAAGCAATTTTTTTGCTTTTAAAACAGGTTGTTGCTGAAGCTGAATCTTCTCATGGGATTAGGTCAATTCATTTAGCACAGCATATTTTTAAGAAAAAGTTTTTATCATGCCAACTCAGGCAAGAAATGTGTGCAAAGAATTGTAGCATTCAGCTCAAATCACTCATTTAAACATTTTAAGCTAATGAGAGTTGGGGAAAAAAGCTTTTTTTATTAAAAAAAAAAGTGGAAATAAGAAGGGAATGTGCTGAGGTTATCTCGGTAGAAAAAGTTTTCATATTTTTAATTTATGGAAGTTTATGAATTTAGCTTTTGTCCTAATCAAGGACAAGAATATATCTGAAAAGCTTTCACAGGGTGCACAGATAATTACAGA